TATTTTTGAATAAACTACGGTTTCCGACACATGAATCAATTGAAAACAAATATGTGCAACTCTTAAATAAATGATCACACCACCAGTACAGCAGATGAAAAAGACACGTTTCGTACATTTGGTACAGCTAGTAATGAACATTTTCTTCATACTGTTACATTAAACACTGCAGTAGTTTTTCAGCATGATACGATAAACGAAGTTTAACATCACTAAGGTTAACAATGCCAAGTTGCAAAACATCAAGTTTAACATCACTAACGTTAATAATGCCAAGTTTCAAAACTTGAAGTTAAACATCACTAAAGTTAACAATACCAAGTTTCAAAACATCAAGTTTAACATCACTAAAGTTAAAAATGCCAAGTTTCAAAACTTGAAGTTTAACATCACTAAAGTTAACAATACCAAGTTTCAAAACATCAAGTTTAACATCACTAAAGTTAACAATACCAAGTTTCAAAACATCAAGTTTAACATCACCCAGCTTAAGAACACCAAATTTGTTTTGTTTCTTTAAGTTTCGAGGAAACTTCTTAGTGAACATGTTTTTCTTCTTAGGTTTCTGTATCAAAAGTGTTTAGGCGTTGATATAAAGACTTGTAGTGGAAAAGACGGAAATAGTTCGGTTTCAAATTTACTTAGATTTGAAAGTTATCAGGAATTTATAAATGTCATATTATTACAGTAATAAATTGATATGATTTCAGTGTATGCCTTTACTAAAGCTAAAAGTAACATACTAGATTTGAACACTTTCACTACTATATGCCCAATTTAATAAATCTTTTAAATCCAAAACCTTTAATATAATCATCCAGTTGCACAAAAAAGAAAGCATCAGTAATTGGTAGAAGCAATAGAATTATGTTGGAATTGTCTATTTATTTTTTCTCAGAGCCCTTTACTATGTGGAGCACTAATTATTGGAGTGACTGCTAGAATGATAAATATATTAATGTGATAGAGTATTGTTCAAATCGTTTTTCTAAAGCTCAATGACCCATTTTTATATAATTTCCGACTTTTGTTTTTAGAGCTATATTTTTTTTTGTCTTTTCCACTAGGTTATCCTTCCTATTTCAGAAACAAGAAAATTGTAATAGTTATTTCACATCCTACTGTACTACATGAATCCATTGGTTACTATCTTTTTCCTGTAGATATGTGATATTTTTAATGAGTAGATGGATGGTATTTTATAGATGGATATTTAACTCTTCTGTAAACATAACGAAATTTGACCAACCTTCAGTCTAATGGCCTTCACCAAGAAAAACGTGGTGTAAAAGTAAGGATGTGAAGCTGTAATTTCCTGGTTGGCTGGGAACCAATAGGAAATTCAAAGGTGGGAGGGAGTGGAAATGTACTAAGGTCAAGTGACTTATAGTGAACGAGTTGGAGGTGAAAAAGCTATGATGAAATAAATAATGATTGAAAGACAGGCATATAAAAAAGAAAAACGTATAGAAACAATGTAGAAAAGAAACATGTCCGGGAAGGGGTATATATTTTTTTTATCAGCAAGATGATGCAATGACTTCTTGCTCATCAGTTGTCGCATCGCCTTCTGGAAGTAATTTTGCCAATAATAGGACATTTAGCAGAGTTACATTCGTCAGTACCAATATTGAGTGGATACCAGTATCACAGACGATTTAGGCAGCACTCACAGGGGATACATAATAGGAAGCCCCTTCCCACACCTAGTGGCTCAATTACAAGTCTAAAGGCTTATTACTCTAACATCACTCACAGGGGATACATAATAGGAAGCCCCTTCCCACACCTAGTGGCTCAATTACAAGTCTAAAGGCTTATTACTCTAACATCACTCACAGGGGATACATAATAGGAAGCCCCTTCCCACACCTAGTAGCTCATTTACAAGTCTAAAGGCTTATTACTCTAAAAATCGAGTTTCGGTGCCTGCGATGAGCACAGCACATATAGCCAATTGTGTAGCTTTGCGCTTAGCGACAAACAAAGGAAATATAATATAAATTATATTAATTACTTTACAGACCATTGATACGTATGTGTTGATATTTTGACTATCAAGTGATTTAAAAGGGCCACTTTCTGTATGAAGACTATACCAGACCACTGTTAACGTCGATAAAGAGTTGCTGCTGACCATGAAGTACTGACAACAAAATACGAGATACAGTGGTATAGGAAATTTAACATTATCATTTTAATAGATCCTTAAAAATGTTTGGTATTTTTCGTCATTAAGTTTCTTAATCCACATTGGTCCTTAGTTCAGAATGGGTTCCTCTGTAGGAGATAATACAGAGTTGGGCATAGTATCTTCGAGCTTAAGATGGTCAAGTACAGACGAGAACTGCGCTTGCGACTACCTAGAGAGAGGGGGTGTTGTAAATTAACATAAACATGAGTGTTTGGTCTTCTCTGATTTGAGTGGCGTAGGATGATCCTGTGGTAGAGTTCTAGATTTCGGAGCTAGCAAGCCAGGCTCGAACTTATGCGAAATCACGAAACAATCCCTGCACTTTATAACAGTACAAGTCAATTCCTTAGCGTTAATGGTGGGTGGTAGGTTATCGTTGACAACATTATCAGGGGATTTTCTACTTCTAGAAAGGGGAAGTAATTGTTCAATGCAGTGACTGGTGGTCTCTAGTAATATTAAAGTAAAGTCTGTCATGGAACCAGATTAATTAATATTCATGACGCGAAAACCAGTTGAAAGGCTACAAAGTTTAATGAATTTCGCGTATATAACATCTATAATGACTTTTAAAGCTCAGTAAACGTGCTTTCACTGGTTGTTAACATTCATAAGGAAAAAGTACTTTCTTTAGAAAAAAAGCATGTGACGTGGTGGTTTGCGTGTTCGGACTGTAAATCCGAGGGTTCATGGTTTGTGGCCCGTTGACGCAACAAACGCGCTCCACAGTATAGGACCGCGAGTATGCTACAAGATTAACGGTCAAATCTCCCTATTCGGACAGACAATAGTAGTCCAAGAGTTGACGGTGGATGTTGTTTATTAGCTGCCTTCCCTCTAGTCTGTCAGGTTGAAACTGGTGATGACTATACGTGAAAATTCTGAAATAAGCTGAAAAATCATAAGTAAAATTAAACATTTTGTGTTATAAAAATCCTACAAAAATAGTGAAATCTATGTCAATGGAAAAGTGTCACTCTCCAAAATTTTTGTTTAATTTGTGTTCCAGTAACTAAATCCAAACTAATAATTTTGTCTTGATGCCAAGAAGTTGCTGAAAGTCCTGTTTAATGTGTGTTCCAGTAACTAAATCCACTCTAAACATATTGCTTTTATGTCACGAAGCTGCTAAAAGTAGTTTAATTTGAGTCATAGTAACTAAATCCAAACTAAACATTTTGCTTTGATGTTTAGTGAACTGATTCAGAAAGGCATAAATGTACTAACATCAAGATTTGAAGTTATTTTTCTTAAATATTGTTCATTTTTTCCCCTTACACATATGTGAATATTATGATGCAAAAACATCATTTTCAAGGAAGATATTACAGCTTTGTGTTCGAATAGTATGAAGAAAAATAAACGATTTTACGAAGTTCCTTCCAAATACGTCAAATATAGGTGTAAATGAATTATTTTACCGTCAGCAAAGAAAGAGGAATAAACATCTTATGATAAAATCTTTGATCACTTTCTAGTAAAGGTGGGTGTTAATATTCAAACCATTTTGTCTCGAATACTAGAAGGTGTAACGGACTGCTATGTGTATCATTTCTTCGTTTTTGTATAGTTGGAAGTTAAAATGGACCACTAAATGTATAAATTCTTCATTTTTATAGAGTTACAAGTTAAAATGGACTGTTATTACCTCGGTTCTTCTTTTTTTGTAGAGTTAGAAGTTTTAACGGTCTACTCTATACAGAGTTGCAATTCAAACACAACTGTGCAATTGTTCGTTTTTCATTACTAAGTATTGAAACAAGAGAACTTAACACTCATTGGAAAATTGCAAGATAAACAACATATTGATCTAGAAAAATACACAAGGTTCCCATAATTGATAAATATAAATAACATATTGATCTAGAAAAATACACGAGGTCCCCATAATTGATAAATCACAGTTAGAGAGAACAATAGACAAATCTAGCGATTTCAGAATTTTGTTGAAACATAAAAGTGTGGAACACCACATCATGGTACAAAGTTTCCTAAGCTTTGCAATTCAATCTTTTTATATACTTACTGCAAATAACACTTACATAGGCATATGGAGTTTGAGCATTACCTCGTAAATTCAAATAAGTAATGCATTTGCCAATACTATTATTTTTATTAAAGTTTAAGTTCTCTTGTTCTGTTAAAAGTTTGTTTGTTTGTTTGAAGTTAAGCAAAAAGTTACACAATGGGCTATCAACAACTCCCACGTTAGACCATCACTATTATTGCACACTCATGGCTCCAAAGTACAGAGTGAATATTTAGGGCAACGGGATTCGAAAAACGAATCCTTGGATTTATAGTCCGGGCACGCTAACTCTGAAATCACCCCAATCCTCTTTTGTTGCTACTCTACTTTTTTTGAGACTGAGAATATTAAAGTTTGAGATAACTTAAAATTAAACTGTTAGTGTAGAACTGTATTATTGTACCAGCTACTAGCATATCTGTTGTTGTTTTGTTTTCATGTAGGATTCGAATGTTCACCCTCACAAAAGTGGTCTCGGACTGAAAACGTTTGAGAATCCCTGGACTAGAGGAAATGCAGTTAATCAAGATCACCCCACCCCCTCGAATTCTATGATTACTTATATGAGATCGAAAGGTGGAATATATCCGTCACTCTAAGCGCATGTACAACTCTAAAGTGTGGGGTGCGCCTTGGGGCAACTGCTTGTGAACCATCTTTCCTCGGATTCACTGTTTGGGAATAATAAGCAGTAGGCCATGACCATTTCAATTAGCCCCGAAATAGCTTTCCATGTATCAGCATTTATATTGGTCAATAATCCATACCTACCAATATCAGATTTTAAAAAAAAACTATTTTTTGGTTCTGTAATTAACACTTCTTATTAATAACTATAGCGCATATATATACATCTGTTGAACTATAAATGCATGCTAAAGTTCAGTATAAACTGTAGAAAAAGGAAGAAACTTGTGAAGTATGTGAAAGTTGATAAGTATACAACCGTTTATTACAAGCTAATCCAGTACGGTTACTGTGACGACAAAACAAACACACTTCCACTTTCGTCCTGGCAGCATGTACAGGAACCTTGACCTTAGCCAACACGAACTGGGGGCGAGCCAGTTTATACTTTCACCAACCATTTAGCAATTTAATAAAGCTTCATTCGCTGAAGGCTGTGTGTTACAACGGACTTTCCCAAGGATTTTTTTTCCCACCCCACACTAAGTAAGAATATTTAAAGCCATCGTGATGAGGGTATTACTACACTTTCGATTAATTATTTCTGGTCAAAACAGGTTTCCTCGTTTACCAACACAACTTGTATGTCAGTGGAAAAGTAAGTTTTCATCTCTAACTTTAGATTTCTATTTCAAGTGCCAAATTTAGACGTGTCTTAACATATTTTTCATTATACTGGTATATTAAATTTTTTTCATTAAGAAAATTAGAAACTTGTCACTAGCTATATTAAACATTTATTGAAAACATTAAATGGGCTTAATGAATTTTAAATTCGAAAGGGGTGCTACTTATATAGATTTTTTTCGAGGGTTTTAACTTAAGTAAAATATATATATAAATATGTGAAGTTGCAAAACTTATTTTAATTAGTGTGAATTATATTTTATTGTAGACGTAATTTTCCTTTCCAGTGATATAATGATAGTATTTTTATGGTTGCTAAGAGCAGAAAAATATTGGCTAACAGGTATACAGAAACGAAAGTTACTTACCTATCTCTGGCAATATTCCAATACAAGATATTACAATACCGTCGTTGTAAAGGATATGATTTTCAAAAATCAAATTAGATACGACTAGTAACTACGATAAAATAAAATAAATTATTTAAAAAAAAAACAGCTGCTGACTGTGATAAAGAAATGTGCTGCGGAATTATTGGTGTGATTTCCGAGCAACTTCGTGTTGAATCGCTTTATGTATGTGTGTGTGTGTTTGTGGACACGTACAATAGACATATCAGTAAAGCCATTTTGTGTAATCTAGGTGTGCGTAAATAGTACGTGTTGCAGGTACTGATGATCAACGGTCTCTCTTTGTTGCAGTTCAGATTGGACAGTTATAAAAGGATGAGCCAAGAGGATCAGTGGAAGTGGATTATTACGGCCATCCTACTTGTTATAGGTGAGTAAAATCTCGAAAAAAAAGAAAGCAAATTTTGACTTACTCCAAGCAAAAAAGCGCATTCAGTTTTACGGTTTGGATTTTTGGGTGTAATGTTTCAAAGCTATATAAACAAGCTTTTTGATAATCCGATAAATTTCTTAATGTTCCAGACCGTAATGCTGTTCGGGCGTTTTTCCCTTACAAGCCCCAGTGGCACAGCCGTATGTCTTCGGACTTACAACGCTAGAATATGGGTTTCGATACCCGTGGTGGGCATAGCACAGATAGCCATTTGTGCTTAATTACAAACAAACAAACATTCCCTTACAAATATTTTTAGCGAAGAAAATTTAATCGCCCATAATGTTTTACCGTTTCGTTTTACTGAAAGAAACTGTCCCGCTCGCTGACAGTTCATCTACCATCTAATGATGAATAGTTAGTTTATCAATTTATTTTTCTGCGATATATATATATATATATATATATACACAAGCACTAGCATTTTCCTAAGCGCATTCTTGATATTTTACTTTTCATTATTAAATGAGGATTTTAACCCCACACACTCGTACACCGATATAATTTGAGTAGCAAAATCAAAAATTACTCGGAGCTCAGACAAACCTTTTAAATAATTACAAACATCATAAAAACTTGGTTTATTCTATGGGTATTTTTAAGATCAAGAATTATCTTTCGATGTAAAAATGGTAATATCAGAATTATTTACAATAAATGGCGCTGTGCTTGTTTGTGTTTGATTGAAGTTAAGCACAAAGTTACACAATGGGCTATCTGTGCTCTCCCCACCACGGGTATCGAAACCCGGTTTCTAGCGTTGTAAGTCTGCGGACATACCGCTGTGCCACTGGGGGGCAAAGTTACACAAAGGGCAGTCTGTGCTCTGCCCACCACGGGTATCAAAACCTGGTTTCTAGAGAAGTAAGTCCACAGACACACCGCTGTGCCACTAGGAGCTAAATGGCGTGAATAAATTAAATAGCTAGTTGACGTTGAAGAAAGTGCATAATTGAACTTAACTGCACTACAAGGGTGTTAGTTAAGGTAACTACACTTGATACTTTGAAATATGAATGTTTCATATCTGATATGTTATACACGTAAACATATAATTATTTAAGATAAATACCTGATAATATTTAACAGTTTTTTACATAATTTACATTATATGAAAGTCATCCTTTGGAGATTGCTTTATCCTCTTGTTTAATTATCGATGAGGTAACTCTTGAGTGATAAACGTTAAACGTAAAAGTTCATCTATGTTATTTTTTTTTTTTTGTAAATTAAGTCAAATTGATACCTTTTCAATTTCTTTAGTTTATTTAAATATTTTGTGTTCTGTCTTAACGAAGACTTAGCTTTGGAAAGATTGTCTCAGAAGTATCGTCAAAAGATTAGAAAAGGAACCAGTTGTTACTTAACCAAATCTTAAAAGAAGTTAAATGTTTGTACTTTTTACCAGACGAACGGACTTTGTTTAGTTTTCATATTACATATCATTTTCTAAAGGTTATTCTTATTTACTATAGAAGTATATTTAACTAGCTTCAGTGACAGTTGTAAAAGGAAGCCATTGAGACCACTTCTTAAAGAAAATGCATATAATATACAATAACCTATTTTTTTATTTATATTCATTCGGGCCTAGTAAACTTATTGTTAACAAAAATATTATTATTATTACTGCAAACAAGGGCGCCCACAGGAAAAAAATTAGGCGGGGTCAAGTAACTCAAGTTTGAAAAAAATTATGAAATCGAAATACAAATACCTTATGATTTTTCAATAACATAGAAGAATAATTTTACATAACTAGTAATTTTTCTTTTGAAAATCCCTCCTTGCCCCTTCCTGCCGGCGCCCATGACTGCAAGAATTTCTCGATTTTGCTAGTGGTGAGGCATATTGTTGTTAAAGCTCACTATTTAATATTCTAGCCAACAGATGGCAAGGCAATCTTTTTTTAAACTTTCTGATAAAAATATATTTTCATATTTTTCTTTTGCCATTTTCTGTGAATTATATTTAATAAATAACACATTTATGTTCTGCTAAGCAATAAATGTTATCTAATGATATTGTTGTCTTTTGTATCCTTGTGTTTTGAAGTAGGACTACTGCCTAATTCCAGTGGTACTCAAGTAAGTTGAATAATGTATTTCAAATTATTTCTTTATATTTTATTAACTTCTTTTATTACATAAAAACCTTAATAAATATTTTTGAATTTAGAATAACTATATCTTTGACATCATTACAAATGCAAGTCTTTTTTTATTATTATGAAACAATTTATGATTTGAGGAGCGTGTTGTTAAAGAGTGAACGTAATCTCTGAGAATTGTTTTGAATTTTGTGTAAGATAAAATCTATCTTTTTCATATGTTTACTCAGCTAAAAAGTTTATCTTATTTCAATTTACTCCCTCATCTTTTTGAAGAACATTTGTTTTATCTAGACGAACATGGTTGAAAATAACTAGCCAAATTCCGTATTCACATTTTTTCGTTTTAAATTTCAAATACTTTACTCTAGTTTTCTCAGTGGAAATTTAAATACAGATGTTGTTAACAGGTGTCTTAAGTTCAACATATTTGTTATCTGTATATCCTAGATTATTTTGTATATTATTATAAAGTAGGTGTAACAAAATATTTTTATGCTGTGAAAAAACGTCCTTTGTAACTTTTAATATTTCAGAGGTATCGGATGTTTACATTCTTTATATGTCCGTTTTTCAGGTTAAAGGTGGGATCGGAGGTGGTAGTTGGCAAGGTGGTGGTGGTAGTTGGCAAAGCGGTGGTGGAGGTGGTAGCTGGAAAGGCGGTGGTGGAGGCGGTAGATGGCAAGGCGGTGGTGGAGGCGGTAGATGGCAAGGCGGTGGTGGAGGCGGTAGATGGCAAGGCGGTGGTGGAGGCGGTAGTTGGCAAGGAGGGAGCGATGGCTACCCCAATAATAATGCTGGAGTCTGGAAAGATGAAATAAGAACATTCCCGAAAACAAGCTTTAAGTGTTCGAACCAACCCTACGTCCCAGGCTACTATGCTGACGTAGAAACACAATGCAAGGTTAGTCCACGCAAACAGTAAGTACAATAATGAATCAATGATGACGCTGGTAAAATTCAACTGAATTGTACTATTTACAGTTAAAACAGCATATTGTAACTAGTCATTTCTTTATATTAGGTTTTGAAGCGTTAAGATCCAATATGAAGTATTTCCATTCTTTTAAATACACTAACAATATTACAAAGTATGTTTGATTTTTATTTTATTACTCTGTTAACTGATGTACCCCTTCAACGCACGGGGAATTATATAGAAGGCCCCCGGGTCGCTGATATAGTGGGTTCAGATTCGAACGCCTTGCCATTCCTCGGGAGACCGTATACATGTCAGGCTTGGCGACAATCGGACACAACGCACAGGAAAGACATAGAGTCCCCATAGAGTGACAAAGGGAGGGTCAAATCCGAACGCCGACTTTCTATGTCACTTCTCGGCGGGCTCTAAGGGTACAAGTAAGGTTTGGAGACAATCGGTCCAGCGGTTCGCCAGTTATAAGTGGAAAAAACACTCAAATACCTTTGTCAAACAATATGACATAGTGGTTTAGACTGTTGAATATTTCTCTGATGATTGCTTCAGGATGTTTTATCAATTCTACAATGTCTTTCTGAAACTCCATGAACATGTAAATTATGAAAGGCCATAGTCACTAGTGATTAAATGTAAAAAAATATTGAACAGCTCTTTGTGATTTATTTTGTTTTCTTTTTTTTGTTGCTGTTAACCAATAATTAAGAGCGTAGCTTTACATCGAAGCGGTTGGAGTTATATGCGATTTATAACGAGTGTTTGTTTGCTTTTTGTTTGTTGTAAAGCACAAAGCTACACAATGAATTATCTGTGCTATGCTCACAACGGGTATCGAAATCCGTTTTTTAGCGTTATAAATCTTCAGACCGATCGCTGTACCAATGGGAAGGGGGGGGAGCTATATAACGAGGGTAACTTCCACTGTGACATTAACTTATATCAATCATGTGACTTTCTATAGGGTAAATAATTTTTCGTTTTGTTTTTCTGTCAATCTCTGTGTTGACCTACCATACTTACTAATTTCCTTTCAAATTACCTACGTGTTTTCTATACCGTTCACTACCGACATATTGTATCATACCGGGTAATGTTTTTATATCTGCCTGCTACAGAAATGATTCCTGTGTCTTTCTGGAATTAAATATCATATGAAAATATTACAATTAAATTCTATAGATCAACAGTGCCTTTTCATTTTTTGAGGCCGTTGAACGAAAACATTATAAATTTAGTGGTTTATATTATTTTACCTTATGTTTGCATACACGATGGTTTCTTGAAAAACATTTCATAATGACAACGTTCGTAAGGAGTACAAATTTTTGAAACTGCATGTTTTTAAATTATAGTTTTATTCTTTAATCTAGAGAATTTTTCTTATACATATATATATATATATATATGGAGTTAAGATTTATACATTTACTGTGTGATGATCAGCATATCACACATTGTTAAACTTTTACTGTGTGATGATCGGCATATCAAACATTGTTACACTTTTACTGTAAGGTGATCCGCATATCAAACATAGTTCAGCTTTTAACTTTACAATGATCAGCATAACCAACATTGTTACACTTTTACTATAAGGTAACGTATCAAATATAGTTAAACTTTCACTGTAGAGTGTTCAGCATATCAAACATTGTTAAATATAGCGGAGAACACTTAAGGTCTACGTTTTTCACAGAATATTCTTAAATTTCAGAATTACTTTAAAAGTCATACGTAGTATCGTGCTTCTTAGGTTATAACTATCCAGTAGATATTACTTACCAAATTTGTATAATATCTTAAACTATCAAAAACAGTCAAAAATATCAAATTACATGTTTATAGTTATTCCTAGAACTCGAATAGCTGAATGCACTATTTGTTGAGTCGCATTCTGCTTTTAACAATTATTTTTTAAATTTAGTTTGTTAGCACATAAAATTATTAAACAATACTTTAACTGAATTTAGGTTTTCAAGAACAATAATCATTGTTTCAGTTCAATTACTAATTACAAGCTTAAAATGTGATTCTATAAATGGGGGCATGAGCACCCTCTTTCAATACTTTGACCGTAACACGCAAACACGAACGTTTCACCCCATGAAAAGTTACTTAGGCTACACACATCATTAAAATTAATATACACCTGGAAAAAATTAAGCACCCCCAAATATTTTTCAG